CATTTTTTTTTTTTTTTTTTTTTTTTTTTTTTTTTTTTTTTTTTGTTTGTTTCTAGATTTTGAGTTTCATTTTCTAGCTTAAGTTTCATTCAATTTGGTCATGTACTTTTAAATGTTAAAATTTAGTCTTCAAATTGTTTTAATTTTCTTATCAAAATTTATTAAATAATAATGAAAAAGCATAATGATTCAATCTCGCATTTCTCAAATCATGCACAACAAAGTTTTGGTGGTTACGATATTGCTTGAAGTTAAAACTTATTGATCAATAATTGACCACTGACATTGTCATCTTAAAGGTGGTTAGGAAGAAAATTATATAGAGATGTTAGTGATTATGTCATGAATATTTGAAAATCAAACAAACGAATGTTCTTGCAGTGTGATCCTGAGGAAGCTGGTGCATGCGACGCGGGGTGCAACGGGGGGCTAATGACCTCAGCTTTCGAGTACATTTTGAAAGCAGGTGGATTAGAGAGAGAGGAGGACTATCCTTACACTGGGAAGGATCGTGGCCCTTGCAAATTCCAAAATGCCAAAATCGCAGCCTCTGTATCCAACTTCAGTGTCATTTCTCTTGACGCCGACCAAATTGCAGCAAACTTGCTCAAGAATGGTCCTTTAGCAAGTAAACAAAACTCTTCTCCTCTTCTCCTCTTCTCCTCTTCTTCTTCTTCACTACTTCAATGCATTTATTCAGGATTTTTCATCATCTAGATCTAATTTAGTAGTTCGATAATGGTTTTAATTTTCTTATTTCCCTCCTGCAGTTGGAATCAATGCGGCTTTCATGCAGACATACATGAAGGGAGTTTCGTGCCCATACATATGCTCTAAACGAAACCTAAATCATGGAGTACTGCTTGTAGGGTATGGATCTGCAGGCTATGCTCCAATACGGTTCAAGGAGAAGCCCTACTGGATCATAAAGAATTCTTGGGGAGAAAACTGGGGAGAAAATGGGTACTACTTAATCTGCAAGGGCAAAAATATCTGTGGAGTTGAGTCGATGGTCTCGTCCGTGGCTGCTACCCAAAACTGAGCCATTGTTGGCGTGGCTGTAAATATGTTGTATTTATGTTACAGCCAGAGCTAATGGAACTTGATTCTTCTCTTGGCTGATAGGTATGGCTAGTTACTGTGTTTGTCTAATTTCTATATATTTTGGATTCTAGAAATGCAGACATTTTTATTATACCATGTGATTGCTATGCTATGTATATTTGTATTACATTGTCTTGTCTATGTCAGTATAATAGGTTTTAGCCTTGAAAAAAATATCATACTGAAAGTTGGGTAAATTTTGTTAGTTTCAATGTTTCTTTTTGTGGGAGTCCCACATTGGTTCGGGAGGAAAACGAAACATCAGGGTATGAAAATCTTCCCCCGGCCGTTAAAGCTTTGAGGGTAAAGGTTGGAAACTTTCCCGAGCAGTTAAAGGTTTGAGGGTTAGCTCAAAAGAATTTGAAAAGGATAATATTTTCTAACCGTGTATCTGGGTCGTTATACTTTTTTAGCCCATTTAGGTTTATTTGTTTGATTTGTTTGAAAATAAAGTGATTTCACCTTAGTTTTTATTTTTTTTCCTCCTTAAAAGTTAAACCAATGTGGTTCATAGTTTTGGACGGTAAGTTTAGGCCGATCTGATGTTGTTTTGGTTTGTTTTTTTTTTTTTACTATTTATTTAAATATTATTTTAAATTT